CCTCCAACCTAAGAGCGATGGCCTCCACCCTAATAGCGTCCTTGCTACTAGTAGTAGTGTCCTCCAACCTAGTAGCGATGACCTTCCACCTAAGAGCGATGGCCTCCACCCTAATAGCGTCCTTGCTACTAGTGGTAGTGGCCTCCAACCTAGTAGCGATGAACTCCAACCTAAGAGCGATGGCCTCCACCCTATTCGCGTCATTCTTACTAGCAGTCATGGCCTCCTAGCATGGGGCTCAAGCCATGTCTTTTTTTTTGCAAAATACAGAATGCTTCAACTCTCACAATGGGTCACTTGCTTGTTTGTTTCCAATTGGGAGTATAGTTAGCCATACTCAGTGTTGCCCACCTGGCCACCGGTGAATGTAGAAGGCCAGCGCCCTGGTTGATGGCAATCCTCATGATTAGCAGCACTATAGAGTCTACAAGCTTCTTCTCCATCACCGATGGACACCACTCAAAATAAGAGGCTCGTGCCTAGGTCTATATTAGGAAACTACTAGGAACAAGTGCATCGCTACTAGTAACAAGTGCCTTACTAGTAGTAACAAGAAGCTATTAGAAACAAGTGCCTTACTACTAGTAACAATAAGAACAGAATACCCTTCTTTCTCGACCTTTGCCGCACGTGGCCGCCAACATACCTTGACTGCCAGGCCGTTCCTCCACCCGGCTCAGACCCTCAGAGCCAGGAGTGGGGGGCATCGCACGGTGCATGACGGGAATCTAATGGGTGGAATTTTGTTGAACCAGATTATAGTGAAGCCAGCCCACCAAAAAGGGTTATATATATATATATATATATGTATGTGCTGCATTATTGTCATTAATGTAGCTATTATATGTGTTATATGTTTGAAGAGTCGTTTCTTCAATCTCTGTCTCCCAAGCTCCGGAGTACAAATATGTGTTCGGCTTTTGAGTTAAGTTCTTGTGAAAGAAGTCCTTATTGTCATGGTTCCTCTACATTCGTAGACTCTTCATGACCTCACACCAAGCTGGGCCAAAGCGGCCAGGTCCTCTTGAAAGCCCTCACCCTTCCTGGCCGCGCCAACCAGGCGCTGGGTAGGGCTCATGGTGCTGGGCACATGAAGGTATTGTCATAACTTGCGCCTGAATTTTGTCTGTGGGAGGGGACATGCACCTTAAGTTTCTTGGGTACTTTGAAGATTTCCAAGATCTGCATCGAAAGCACCAATATCTACACCTTGCTGTACCTCTATAGGTTTCTTGGTGTCTTTTTCTCGATCTACACCAAAATGCTTGAACTTCTAGGTGCTCAACCCTCGGCCGCCGTGGGTGCGCCGCCGCGGCCTCCATTTCACAGAGTGCCCGATCCGTCCGGTCGCCTGAGCGCCTGAGCACGTTGCCACCGAAACGGGTTCGGCCCAGTCCTTGTGACCTGAGGTGATTCAGTAAGATAAAATATTGATGAATCATTAATCAACTGATCATATCACGAAAGGTAGCTTGAGCTACCTGAGTTCTCCTTGCTTTAGCAAAAATGTATTACAATCAGGAGTTGGGATTGTGCATTGATTTTGGTCCTGTAAGAGATGATTCTGTTCGTCGGTGGGGGCCCCCCCTGGATCAAATCCCCCCTGCGCCGGTTCACTCCGTCGTTGACTTCTACGAGGGTTACTTGTGATTGCCTGCTACCTTTCGTTCACCCCCTCCTCTCTCAAGTATTAATGAAGAGGCTTTACATGGTTGTACAATCCAAATGGGGGGAGTTTGATGAATCAAGAGTCCGCATTAGGTGGTTTCGGCCCTCATGAACTCCTAGCGGCAACTCCTCAAGACAGATCAAGCACATGGACCGCACACTGAGGCCAGTCCTCAAAGAGACTGCGCCGGCTGCGCCGCGCCAGGTCGGTGTTCGGGTGATTCGGTTGGGGTGGGGAAACAGACCAAACGCGAAGGTGAAGGCTGTATCACGATGGCCTCCACCCTAGTATTGATGGCCTCCACC